GTTTGGGGGCTACATACCTGGTTTTATGTAGTGTTTGGGATGGAACCCACAGTCTGGTGTTCTGCTGGCATTTCTTCTCACCTCCAAAATAGGAGCATCATACAGGCTGTAAACCTACAGTCCAAAATCCACAGTGAGGCTTCAAGCAGAAGATTCCACATCTGACCTTCTGGAGTGGGTCACAGTCATCAGGCAGGCACCCTAAAATTACTGAGCCCAAAGACACTGAGTCTATTCATAGGAGATATATATATATATATATATATATATATATATATATATATATATCTCATGTATATGAAACAAATTAATTTTCTGTTTAGACTTTGATCCTGTTTCCAAAATATATCAGAGTCTACATACAAATATTGCCAAATAAAATTCAAAAAATTTAAAAAAATCTATATATATTGGGCTGGGAAGATTGCTTGATCATTAAAATGGTTGCCCTGCAAGTATAAGGCCCTGAGTTCAACCCCTAGAACAAAGCCAGATCTGATGACCTGTGCTTGTAATCCTAGCATAGGAAGGTGGAGCCAGGCTCCAAGGAACTCACTGGAGCTCCAGGCCAGGGAAAGGCCCTGTGTCCATACAAACTAACAAGGGACTGGAAAGACGATGGTCCAGCAGTTAAGAGCGTGTCTCAGTCAGGGCTTCTACTGCTCTGACAAAACACCAGGATCAAAAAGCAAGTTGGGGTGTGGGGGGGGGGGGGATGGATGGGTTTATTCAGCTTCCACTTCCACATTGCTGTTCACCACTAAAGACAGTCAGGACAGGAACTCAAACAGGGCAGGAACCCAGAGGCAGAAGCTGATGCAGGGCCACAGGGGAAACTGCTTATTACTGGCTTGCTCAGCCTGCTTTCTTATGGAACCTAGGACCTCCAGCCTAGAGATGGCCCCACTCACCAGTGCTTCCCCCACCCCCGCCCCATTGAGCACTTGAGAAAACGCCTCACAGCTGGATCTCATGGACGCACTTCCTCAACTGAGGTTCCTTCCTCTCTGACGACTCCAGCCTGTGTCAGGTTGACACAAAACCAGGCCATACAGAGAGAGCACTTGTTGCTCTTCCGGAGGATCAGGCTTTCAGCCTTGGCCCACATGGGAGCTCACAGCCATCCATAACTCCAGTTGCATTCTGCATCAGGACCCATCGCCTGACACAGCACTGACCTTTGCCAGTGAGTTCCCCACCAAATTCTCTTCCCGGATATCAAGGCCCAGCCTGATTCTGAAAGATTACTCTGGAGGTAGGGTGGCTGCGGCAAGAGCCTTGTGTCCCATGGGGCCATCTATCTAGTGACTCATTCCTGGGTCTCTTGTCTTTCCAAACACCTTACCTCACTGTCCCCAGACTTCTCCCTGTCCTGTCTGGCCAGTTCCTCCAAGGTTCCTCTGCAGCTTTGCCTGGTATCCTCGGGAGCTTGTGCATAGCACCTCTGGGAGCAGAGCCAAGTGTAAGCTGACACCTCTTCCCAGGGGAGACAGGGAAGTTCTTCTCTCCTGGGGAATTTGTGGGTCTGTGCCAACAGGGCCTAGGATCCTGGTTACCCATTCACAGGTATTCTTGTGCCACCGGGAGCCCTACAGACCTGGTGCCAAGCTGCAGGGTCCCAGAGGAGGCTACTCACCTTCCTCCTTGGTTCCTCATCTTTTCCTCATGGTTTTCCACCTCCAGTGAGACAGAGAGTAAGAAGGGGAGACTAGCAGTGCCCCCCAAGTGCTCATGCATCCCTCTGTCCCACCCTAGGGCAGCTCCTGCCCACCCCTCCCCTGTGCTATTGTTGAACCCACGGCATCAGCTCCCAAAAGCACCTGCCGTGACCATGATCCACCTCCCCATCTTTCCTCAATGCAGAACTTGGCCCAATCTTGTCCTTCCTCTAAACCCAGGCATAGAGTTCCAAACACGAAATGTGGAGCTCTTGCTAGGTTCTCCCCGAGCAATCAGTGCAAGGGACAGGAGCTAGGAGCAAACATGGGCTACAACAGAGGCCAGGGCAGGACACACTCACCTCAACTGGTGCGGCCAGGAGCCAGAAGATGCCCCTCTCAGGCCTGAGTACTACAGCCAAATGCTTCCATAAGAGGTGATTGCCAAGTGATGGCAGTTGAAGACAGGGGATCCTGTCTCAGACAGAAAGCCCAGCTTGGGTTCCTGTCCAGACTGTCTATCTCAAGAGTGGGGCTGAAGCATGGATGCCCCTGCTCTGGGACCCAGGGGAACAGGAATGCCCCGCCTCTCTTAATGGCATTTCCCACTTTTCCATCATGGCTAGGCTTGCGGGTGAGAGCTGCACTTCTGCAAACTCCCAAAGCATGGGTTAGCCTTGTTGACCACCTTGTCTCTGTCACAAGTTTCTGAGTGGCAGACAACGGAATTACAAGCATGGTGAGTTCACCCTTCCTTGAGGGCAAGCCCTGGGTCCCAGGTCTGTGTTGGGAACAGAGACCAGGCTTCCCTGAGGAAACACTTCCGTTATGTGTGGCTTTTCTCTCAACACCACCCTCTGCCCTTCTTTTCTTTTTTGAAGACCGCAGTCGGGGTTTCCCACATTGGAGCTAGTTAGACAGACTGAGAATGAGAAGCTGACAGAACAGCCTTGAAAGGATTCCTGTCCCTGAGGGAGGAGAGCTGGCTGGGTGGCCCTACAGCCAGCCTTCCCATCCCCAGGACCTGTGCCAGGTGGCTTTGATACTCAGACTAGAGGAACTTATGGCTCCCGCCTTCTGCTGAGCCTCAGCCTGGACTGTATCTTTCTGAGCTCTGGCGGTGACAGCCAGCTCTGTGGTGGCCCCTTGGCTTCTCAGAGCCTCGTGTCTGCCAAGGCCACACGTTCCTTGAAGGCCTTCAGACACCAGGCCACATGTACGGGGGCTTCTGGCTCCCCAGGGTATGCAGATGGAACACCTCAGGCCTGGCTCGTGGGGAAACTGAGGGCAAGGAGAAAAATCCCAGGGGATGAGGCTGTAGGCTCTGCGGGCCTGCCAAGTCTGTGGGTTAAGCCAGGAGGGTCATACAGGTGGAAACATCCCCGCTGGTGTGCCGTGACCAGACAGGGCACATTCACTCAGCAGTGTCTTGAACATCTCAAGTAAGAAGACTCAAGTTTCAATGTAGCACAGAAGTTTGGGCAGATTTCTGAATCTTTAAGCCCCTGTGTGCTGGGCACCCCCACAGGCAGGAGGACTGGCGGGAACTTGCTTCTAGGGTCACAATAAGAAGGAGTTGAGAATGTCTGCAGAAACCTGCGCAGGTTGTGGGACCCTGGCACCACACCTGAGAAGAGAGGCTGAGCCTCGTCTGCCTGGCCCAGGCCCATAGCGGCTAGAGGAAAGTCAAGGCATCATGGGAAATGGGGGACAGAAGGTGGCTAGGATTCTCACCGTTCTAGAATCATGAAGAGAAACAACGTGTTGTTCGTTCCTCAGAGGAACACACGTACTTTGTGGCCATTAATTACTTCCTGAAATGCCTTCATGAGTTTGGCAATTGGCAGCTGGCAGGTGAGAAGGAGAAGGGGCTTTGTGCCAGGTGAGGGACGGGCCCCAGCGCACACCCCATCTCCTGTCTTTCCTCCAGAGGCTGGCAGGGCCAGACTCAGTGCTGGGCTTGTGCTATTCGCCCTGACAGGCAGGGTTCAGGCAGGGAGGAGACATAAGGATCACTCAGTGGTTTGGGGACAGTTGCTGACAGGCTGGTCATGCTCCCTGTCCTGAAGTATGCCAGGCATCTCGTGTCAGCCTTGACTGATTACGGGTCACTGACTGACTTCAGCCCAGAGTGGTTTGTGGCAGTGGCCACAGCATCAGGACGTGACTGTCCCATAGTCTGAGGGTACAACCCCTAGCTTTTTCTGGCTCTGGCAGGAATGGAACCCTGGGTGTGAACGTGGCAGATGTCCCTTTGAAATGTGTCTGGGGAATCCTATGAACACGTGTAGAAAGGGAACACCTCCTCTGAGAAACGGGGGCCCACTCTTGGACCTCAGAGGTCACGTGGGTCCTGTGCTATGTTAGAAGGGCAGAAAAGACCTAACTCGATTTCTGCAGTGGCTTAGGGAATCAGTCTTCTAGAATAGTCTGCCTGAGGCCCAGCCTCCTCTGGAGGACTGCCTGAGCCATCTCTTTGCCTTTCAGATCAGGGAAGTTAATTCATGATGATGGCAAAACTCACAAGAGCTTTCTTCTTTACAAGAACTCACTGCTCTGTTTCTAGAAACGTCCACCACCATAACATGAGGGCTCATGGGGATCACCTATGGCAGAGGTGGCTTTACAGATCACAGAGAGGCCCTGCACGTGTGCCTTGCTGTGTAGTCTTGGCGTCTGTGTCTTGTGAGGGAAGTCAAAGGGAGCCTTGGCTCCCAGGGTTCTGCGTGCTGCCATCATGGGGTTTCCGTCCATGGGTCTTTGGCCCTCCCATGCTCAGCACCTATTGAGGCCTTGACATACCTGAACGCACCTGTGACGTATCAAAGAAGAGTGCAGTGACAGTTCTCCCCACTGTCCTCAGCCAGGCTCCTCACACATCCCGACTGCGGTGGTGCAATGCTCTTGGGGTCACCATCCTCCTTGGCTGGGGGCAGCCGGTCCTGGGGAAGCAGAGTTCCTTACTAGACCCCAGCTATGTCTCAGTGCATTGCTTCAGTTACTGCTTAGAGGGAAGCCTATCTGCCCCTGTGTGAATATGGGGGGCTGGACCCAATCTGTGAGTATCCTCACACCCAGCAGACAGAAAACTCTGCAGCAAGTGGGGAGAAACTGCAGCCAGAGGAGAACACTATTGCTAGCCCCCTGTGCGCCTCCAACCGTGAACGTATTTCCCCTGGTCTTGGCACAAGGGGCCCTGCTTCCATTTTGCACTGAGCCCTCAAAGAGAAGTAGCCAGACACACTTGTCGGCCCCTTAGTAAAATTCTGAAGTCTTTGCCTGATCCCCAAGGAAGTTCTTTTCTGAGGTGACACTTACCTGCCCTCTCTGCTTCCCCCACAGGTTTCGTGTTAGCTGTGTGCCAGGCTCTGGAGAACAGCACGTCCCCCTTGAGCGGTGAGTCCATCCTCCCTGGGTGTGCATGGGGTGTGGATCCTGCCTCACTTCTGGAGAACCCTCTCCCTGGGACACTCGCCTGTCCTTGAACCTTCTGCATCTCCTCCGGGCAGGAAGAGGGGAGCCTACTAGAAGGCTTCACCATGGCCCAAGGGCGCTATGCAACCCCCTCAGGGGCAGCCCATTCACAGAACCCTTCACCTGCTAGACAGCCAGTGTGGCAGGTGAAATGGGCATGCAGGCCCCCAGAGCTTGAAGCTGTCCATACTTTACCAACCGTGTGATGATTGGGTTTCCGAAGCTCCTGTCCATTCCTGCCCAATGATGGTTGCTTATTTATTCTCCCCACAACCGCCCTCCTATCTCCCACCCTCTCTGTCAGTACTTCCGAGAGTTGGGAGACAAAGCCCTCACCATCTCAATGTCCAAGGGAAGCCCCTTCTGTTTCACGGGCTCCTAGCTAGTCGCTTCTGTTTGTACACGGTAATGGTTGTCTTCGTGATTTTGATTCCTGCTTTTCCTGTGTGTCGGGACACAGGAGTGTGCATTTATTAGGTACTCTTGTTTGTGTGACAGGCATTTACCCACTAAGCCATCTGGCAAGTACCAGATGCCATAGCAACATTTACAGCCTGGCCTTAAGGGAACTTGGACGTGAGACCAGGCGGGAGTAAGTGCCTCCAGGCCGTTCCATGAGGCTGATGCTGGCGTGTGGCCCTGCCTCGCACTCTTCTAAAGCAAACTGTGCACCTGAAGCATGCAGGCTTCGGGGCTGGGTCAGCCCGGCCAGCTACTGGGCCTCTCGGTTGAGACAGGTTGGGATGGTGGCGAATGCTGAGGTGGCTGTCAGTGGGAAGGATGCACTTGACTGTGGTACCCCTTCAAGTCTATTCACACAGACAAAGAGAGTCTGGTGACATGAGTCTGCTCCCTCTGAGCCCTGGAGTGGCTCCTGATGAGCCTCTTCGAGGTGCTGTAGGCTCCCTTGGCAGACCTGATCATTCAGCCAGAGAATGACAGACTAGCCTCCATCTGATGCCCCAGTTCCCACTTTCCCTTCTGGATTTGCCCAACCCTTCTCACACAGAGGCCCCCAAAGCAAGTGCACCCCCTGCTATGCTGCCTGGACTCTATAATGGCTGAACACCCATGGAGGCTCAGGATGGCAAGTCAGTACAGAGGCCACACTGCATTGTACAGAAGGCCCCAAACAACATCCCCTCTGGGGACAAGCGAGGCCGCTACCTGTCTGACAGCTGGCTGCTCTCGGTTGGCTGAATGATTAGATGTGGGACTGGCTCTCTTTAGTTTTACACAGTCTAGAGCCTGGGTCCTGGGACTCGGGAGAAGAGGCCAGGAGTCAATTTCAGTGGTGACTATGTCGTGGTCACCTCTGCAAAGGCCGAGGTTGGGTGACTAAGTAGGGCTGCCTGCCTCCCTCTCTCTTCTTTGCGGTGACCTCATCTATAGGACTGCTTGGTTTGTCCCACCCCTTTCCGCCATCCCCAGGGCTGAAATTCTGCACTGGGGGTGGCTCAAATGTGCCTGTGCACGCACGTTCAGGTACATGTGTGCATAGGCGTGCATTTGTTCATATACTCGTGGAGACCAGACGGCAGCATTGAACCTCATCCTTTGAAACATCGTCCGTCTTTTCTGAGATAGGATCTCTCCATGGTTAGGAGCATCCCAGTTAGGCTAGACCAGTGAGCCCCAGTGATCCTTTTGCCTCTGCCCCTGAGCACTGGATTAAAAGCACTCAGCAGCCTCTTTCTTTTTAGCATGAGTTCCAGGGATTGAACTCAGATCCTCATGCTTAGACATAGGCACTCATTGGCTGAGCCGTCTCCCCAGCCCTCAGTGTTAATTTGGGATTATTTTGGTGTTTTCTTATATTGCCTGATACGTGTATTTTTTTCTTTAGTGATTATGTCGGTGTTTTCTTATGTTACCCGATTCAGGTATATTTTTTTCAGGTGAACTCTGTTTTAGAAATTTTATTTATTTATATGCTAAGTGACTTCAATATCTAAGTTTTCCTCCCTGGGTATTAGTGGGCTCGTATACTGAATTCCACAAGCATCTGTTAGGTGTTAGAATGAGGAATTTCAGGATGGTAGCAAATGGGCCCAGCTCTCCACTTTGTTGATCGGGACCAGAAGCCAATGGACCTACATTTGGTTTAATACATCCCTGAGGGACAAGCATGCCACAAGGGCCTCTGGCAGACCTAGAGCGAAGCCCCAGTATTACAGAGAATTGTGGAGAGAGAAAATTGCAGACGCCAAGTGCCATCAAGGGTGGGACCCCAGTTCAGCAGAACACAGGGTTTGTCCTTTTTCTTTTCTTCTTCTTTTTGGCGGAAGCATCCATGCCATTAGAGCAGTTGCCCTTGGCTTTCTTGGTAAGATCTCATTTTGTTACTTTCTCTTAGATCACCAATTATGAAGGACAGAGGGTGGCAGAGGTGTGGGAAACTGAGTTTCATCAGTAAAGGCTTCACTGGCATTTACTTTGGGTGGAACAGTGGAGAATATGGGGCCTTGGAGAGGAGGCCAGGATCCTGTGTGGGGCCCACTTGGTTTTAGACTTTCCAAATTCCTGAGCAGGTTAGTCCTCAAGTGTTTGCTTAGATTAGTTTCACATCTGTGGGACCAGGCTGAGTGATGGCCTGAGAATCTCCACATGGCTGTCCTGGTGGACGCGGAAAGGCCTTGGAGGGCTCCTGAGGATGCCTTCAGGCTCTAGGGAGCATTGCAGTCAGTGATCATGTCGTAAGGCCTGCCCTGGGCTGGGTCGAGAAGTGGCACTGTGATTGCCTAGCAGATTCACCCTCCATGTCCACAGGTTCTGTGTTGTTCAATGTTTTATTCTTTGGGCTTTTTAAGGGGCCCACCATTCAGCTCCCAAATAAATCACACACGGGGCCTATTCTTAGGAATGACCAACCTTAACTTGACTTGTTTCTTGCCAGCTTTTCTTAAATTATCTTGACTACCTTTTGCCTCTGGGCTTTTGCCTTTTCTTCCTTCTATGTCTCTTGCTTTCACTCTTAGTCGGCGGCCGGCCTGGCCCCTCATGTCCTCCTCTCCTTGTTCTTTAGCTCCTTCTCCTCCTCATTGTTTCTCTGTCTATTCATTCTCTCTGACTGCCAGCCCCACCCATCCTTGCTCCTGCCTTGCTCTTGGCTGTTCAGCTCTTTATTAGACCATCGGGTGTTTTAGACAGGCAAAGAATCACAGCTTCACAGAGTTAAACAAATGCAGCATAAACAAAAGCAATACATCTTTACATCATTAAACAAATGTTCCAAAAATAATATAAAATAATATTAAAATGATATTCCCCAAAAGTTATGCATCTTAAAAGCCAAAGGATAAATGGCTCAAAATACCTGGAAAAATGGCAAAATACTGAATATGTATAGACTTGCTTCCCCAAGGTGTCTACAAAAACAGCAACAATATGGCTGCTATTTATACATTATTTTGCATATTATAGTAATGCAGAGGTAATTTTAAATGCACAGGAGGGGCTAGGGAAATGGCTTGGTGGAACTGTGAAGATCAGAGTTCAAATCCTCAGAACCCACTTATAAAATGGTGGTTCCCTGTAACCTCAGCACTTAGTAGGGGAAGACAGCTGATTCCTGGGGCAAGCTAGCTAGACTAGCTGAAAGGGTGAGTGACCCTGCCTCAATAAATACAGTGAAGAACAGTCCAGGAAGACACCTGATGTCAACTTTGGGCCTGCACACACACACACACACACCTGCACACACACACACACACACACACACACACACACACGTACACACATATGCGCACAGAAAAAACAAATCTAAAAAATGTGTGGGAACATGAGTGTAGTTTCAGTGTACACCCTACACTATTTCCTGGAAGGACTTGAGCATCTGTGGTTTCAGTACGGACTGGTCCTTCCTGGGTACAGAGGGACAGCTGCATTTGATTCTCTTAGGATGCTGCATCTCAAGGATGCTCTTGTACCTTCAGATTCTAACCGTCTGGTTGTTAAAATCCTACAAAGAATCGAAGATCTCTGCCTGGCCCTCCAGGAGCCCACACAACGGGTGACAACACAGTCTGTGGCCTTTCTTGGGAGTGTCACTGGATGCTCAGTGTGTCACCTAGACCATAAACTACCACACGAGTGAAATCAATATTCTGAAATGAGGAGCATAAACTTTTATCCTCGTCAGTTGTCTGTTTATAAAACATCGTCTGGAGGCAGATGAGGGCGTCGGCATTCACATCCTAGAACACAGGCTACGCCCTCCTCAGGAAAAGCTCCCACCTATATTCAAAAGGCACTCGCTCTTCAGTGCCCCCTTTAAAAGGGACAGAATGCACCCAGACACAAAGCTATCGGCAGCTGCTTGCCTCACCCTCAGCAATGCTACACTTTCTCAGGCCGTTCATCTGGTTCTTTTCTCGTGAGACTCACTGTAATGACCAAGAAGGTGTGGTGAGGGCCCCTCTGGGTTCCTGCCTGCTTGCACGCTCTCCAGAGTGACTGTCTGCGCCTCGGATTCCTCCTCTTTCACCTTTGGCCAGTGTCTTTGGACACACACCTGGCCTCTCAGCGTGTTTGTCAGTTTGTTCAATTTAGTGTCGGGAAGACTATTCAAATATGATAAACACAGATGCTTCACCATGGAGTTCTTCATAGAGCATGCCACCATTCCCACTAGCATGGGGAGATAGTGACCAGGTCAGGCATCACTGGGGACTGTAGACTCCAGTCTGTTGAGATGAGAGTCCCGGCTGGGCTGGACAGAAGGAGGGCATGTCGGATTAGAGGGGAAAGCCTTTGAAGGCTTTGCTTGTTTACACAGCCAGCCAGCCAGGGCTCTCCTCAAGGCTCACCTCCTTTAACAAAAGCTTTTCAGAACTTCAAACTGCTTCCCCGTTCCATTGTCTACGGTTTTCCCACATGTGAAGCTGAAGCCATTCTAAAATTAGAAGGCTCACGTGTTCGAG